GACGTTAAAAGTACACAAATAAAATACATTGTTGGTCTGGCTAAAGCTACATTTAAAGCTATGTTTATTGAAGAACTAAGGTAAGTCTCAACACCGTAGTCCGGGTATCTCTTAGATGACATGTTACAAGATTGACTTATAGCTGTAGCTCAGGATGAAGTTCTCCAACGATTCCTCTCGAGTGAACCAAATTCAACCCAAGAACAGACCCTAGACAGTGAGACCAATTGTTATGGAAAGGAATAAACATTTTCCAATATAAGCTCTTGACATCAGTGTTAGCAGAATTAGTAAAAACACACCCTAAAATGTCTGTAGATGACTCAATCACTTATGCAACAACTTAACTCAGGCTATGGGAGTGTTACCCCCACCCTGCTGTGCTCATAAGGGTCAGGTGGCATAATGTGGATTTGAAAGACCACCCAGAACAACGTATGGAGTGAAATATTCATCAGAATACAGCTCAGGGATATGCAGATCCTAGTTGTTCAAACGGCAGCAAAGCTAGCAAAGTGGTATTGTTATAGAAAGACAACTATATTTGTAGAAGGGCCCTCCATGTGTAAGAATAAGATGGAAATCAACTCTCTTTGTGGTGTGTTAATAAAAAAAACACTGGGGAATAGAGGATTAAATAAAATTAAAAATATTATTTTGCTGCAGGTCTTTTTGGAGTCTTTATATGCCAATATACCCTAGTAGTGCAAGAGATAAGATATGCAGAATTTCCCAGATATATTTGGTTACCGTATCAGTTAAGATTAAGTTCAATTAGAAGTGACAGACAAAATATGAAATATCAGTGTCTTAATATCTTAAACTATATAAAAGTTTATTTCTTTCTTAAGTAAAATTCCAGAGATAGATAGTCCCGATCTACTTTGGCTCTTTAGGGTGTCATGGACTTAGGCTTTCATTATTAAGACCACCTCATGGTCCCACATAGCTGCTCCAGCTCCAATCTATACATCTACATTCCATCCAGCAGAAAGAGGAAATGGAAAGGAGAAGAGAATCCCCTCTCCCTTCAAAGACACTTCCTAGAGGTTGTAAAATAACTTTTGATTACATCCTATTGATTAGAACTTAGTTCCATGACCACACCTACCTGAAAACGAGGACCAAAAAGATAGTCTTTATTCTGTGCAGACATGTGCCTGGTTAAAAATTCTATTTCTATGGAAGAAGAGGAGAGGACCATGAACAGTCTCTCTCACAACCATGAAATTCTTTATTTCAGGTAGCAATTCACAAAATAAAAGTGTGGAAATATTGATGTAAATTAATTACTTTTCACAGTATTTTCTCAACCTCTAAGAATCAATGTCCAAGGCAATCCATTGGAAAAGCCTGAGAACCAGGACCAGCAAACTGGTTTACTAAGGTGTTCTTATAGGAACCAGAAGCATAAAAGGGAGGATTTATGTTTTTTCATTTGAATCTAGCTGTTGCAATAATTCATTTGAAAGCAGAATGTTTCCTCAAGCACGAGGAAGCCATCTTTTTGAAATGTAAACATCAAGACAGAGAGAACTTCCATCTCCCAGTTTCTGTGGGAAAGTAGGAGCCTAACTTGAGTGGGCACCTTGGTCCAAGTTACAAAATGACCTCCTGCCATAAAGTTAGGAGAAGCTTGTTTTTCCTTTGGATAAAGCCAATTAGCTAACACAGATGGTTACCCCAATTACCAGATGAATTTAGGATGAACTCTGTGTGATAAATGGTGCTACTAAGTCCTCTTATTTGAGGACTAGTTACTGTTTATCTTGAGAACATGGATGGAACAGGCTGTAGCTGCCAGGCTATGTCAAAGAGTGAGACTTCTTTCTGTTTCTGCAGTCTCTTAGTGGCTTGCCTGTGATGCATTTCACATTCTGGTTTAATGGTTATTCAATAACAAAACTGTTTTCTGCCTCTTCTACTTTTGTGGAGAATTTTTCTTGGTTGGCAAGAGATTTTGTTTTTAATTTATATTTCTGCAACATTGTCCTCAAATTCACTTACATCGTATTACTTAGCATATACTCTGCTGCAAATGTCAGACTGTTGTAATTTGACATTGAACTGCCTAACTGAAGCTGTATCTTAGCTGGTGTGGCTAAGGCAAACATTCAACTAAAGGAAAAAGTGAGATTTTCTGCAGAGAGACATTAGTCGACAATAGCTGCTTCCAAATTACTGGATGTTGAGTTTTATGAGCACCATAGAGTCAGTGAGATTCTTTAGAGTGCATCTTTTGGGGATCTGAGGCTGAAATCGTTGCTCACATTCTTCTAGTCTATGTTAAAAAGAGCCATTCTCTTGTCTGAAAACAACCACTGACCTGTGGATATAAATGCCATAAGCTGCAGTGACCAGCCAGGAGAAAATCTCGTGTGGCCTAAGTTTTAGAGTCCCTTGTGCAGGCTGCCCCAGTTAAAAGCTAACTCTCTGACTGCAAACCCAGCTCCAGTGCCAAATACAGGCTGCAGACCAGGAGGGTAAGAAGCCCCCACAGACTGTACTTAGTGTATTAGTTCCCTAGGTTGGCTGGAGCAAACTCCCACAAACTGGTTGGCTTAAAACAACACAAATTTATTACCTGACAGTTCTGGAAGCTGAAAGTCTGAACTTGAGAGGTCACTAGGGCTGCACTCTCACTGAAACCGGTAAGGGAATCCTGCCTCGCCTCCTCCTGACTTGGGTGGTTTTTTGGGCAGTCTTTGGCGTTCCTTGGCTTGCCGCTACTTCCTGCCTTCACGGGCACATGGCGTTCTCTCTCTGACTCTGTCTTCATGGCCATATTCTCAGAAGGACGTTAGTTGCATTGGAGTAGGGTTGCACCCAATTCTAGTATGACTTCATCTTAACTAATTACATCTGCAACCATCCTATTTCCAAATAAGGTCACATTCAGAGGGACTGAGGGTTAAGACTTTAACATATCTTATTTGGGGGGACACAATTCAACCCCTAACAATCAGTAAGAGCCACTAAAGCTTAAATTACCCTCCCGGCTCTGCCAGATGCTTCAATCTCCATGTATTAAGATGCTCTCCGCTATTTTACTTATTTTTCAAATAATAGAGAGAAAAATTCTCCCTGTCCAAGTTCTGAAGTAACCAAAAAATGATATAAAGAAGTTGCTTGATATTTAGAGCTAAAATTTACACTTTTTTTAACTGGTAAGGGCTGAGCTGAAGGACATGGTTTCCATTTTTGTGCAGGTAGGCTTCCTAATACTGAGCCCAGAACTCAATTTAGCCACGCAGTGGCAGGACAGCCAGATCACACACACATAGCTGATATAATAAGGATGTGCCCAAGTTTGATCTTGGTCCTGCTATTCTGCCAAAAGTTCCAAATGACAGATGCCTATTTCACACGTCCCAAAATTCATGGATGATCGGAGATCACGTGATGTCAGAGGTGACCATCACGGCTAGTTAGCATAACAGAGACTGTAATGCAAACAATAGATGGGATCAGAGACGTCATTCAGATTTATCAGTGATCTGAATAAATATCTGGATATTTACTTTCAAATGATGGGCAAGCAGACAAGATGAAGTTGGGTTAAAACTCTTCTTATCAAATTTTAAGAAGACGACAGTGGTGGAGGTGGCAGAGTTTTGGATCTTTCTGAATCCTCACATAGAAAAAGACAGTGAAATTAAAAAAAATTGATGAACAACATTTACAACAAAGCTAGGTGACAAGATACCCAGTGAATCTCAAAATACAAACCAGCAAAATCCACAAGACTTACGCATTATCAGCATCTTTTCAGGAGGAAGCAGAAGGAAGCTACCGAAGATCAACAATTTAACAATAGGAGACTCCAAAAGAGCCCCCAGCTACTCACTGGGGAGTGCAGTGGGCCAGTGTGAGAGTAGCAGCAGAAATGAGAGGGGTTTGTCTCTCAATTAGCAGGTGAGGTAAGGGGCCTGCAGTAAGCCAGGCTGACAGGTTCAGCAGGACCACCTTCCCACCTTCCACTGGGCCTCACACTCAGGCCAAATAGAGCAGCTGAATCAAAATTGACAGGAAGGAATAACATAGACGAAGGAAAGAGAAGGTCCAGGGAAAAGTGGGGCAGACAAATAGAGCAAGACAAACTCAGAAAAATCACCTTAAATTTTTTTCTCACAAGCAGAAGGACCTACAACTAAAATATACAACTATGTACTGGGGGGCTTTGGGAAGAAGAAGAAGAAGAAGAAGAAGAAAAAGTTTTGTGGTGTCTTTTTTTTTTTAACATTACACAGAAACAACAGGAGTTGTAGAACAAAATATCCTTCTGATAATCAGGAGAACTAAATTCACACAAAAATGAATAACAGAAAAGTGTTAAGGCCAAATTCAATACAAAGATACTATGTGTTTTCAATAAAAAGTCCTATCTGACAATTTTTTACATGTCGTGAAAATGAATTAAATTATCATTTTTGCCACCTTAAAACTTCATGAGGAGGAAATAATTTAAAATATTAATAAATTACTTTCAATTTTGACATGATAAAGAACGTAAAGAGAAAAGAAAATGGAATACATTGTTAGAAAAAATATTTTAAAACATTTTAATTTGACTAATCAACTTTCAATGTGTGACTAATAAAATTATTACAATAATTCTACATTTTTAATTATTTTTTTCAGATTTATTCTTGATTTCTAGTTCTTTTTCCCATGGCAATACTTGGTTTTGGCCTTGATTTTAGCCAAATATTGACTTTAACTCCTGGCGTTTTAGCATTTGGAAAAAACATATATCAGTGCATTTCAACCTTATGAGATTTATGTCCTGGATGACAAAAACAGAACATGGATTGTCAGTGGGCTGCTTTCTCCCAAAAGGAGAGTGAGAGGAAGAGGTTGGGCTGTGCATCCTCAACTTCTCTTTCTAGACTTATCAATCACATCAAGTCTTTATCAATTATCTACTGCTGTTTAAAAACCACCTAAAAACTTAGTGGCTTAAAAAAACAATTTTATCTGTTCACAATACTGTGGGTCATGCTTGCTTTGGCAACACATATACTGAAATTGGACCAACACAAAGAAGATTATCATGGCCCTTAAGCAAGGATGACACGCAAAGTCATAAAGTGTTCCTTATATTTAAGGGATCAATTCATCAAGAAGAAACAGCAATTCTAAATATATATATGCACCCAACATCAGAGTACCTAAATATATTAATCAAACAGTAACTAATCTGAAGAGAGAAATAGACTACAATACAATAACAGTAGGGGACTTCAATATCTCACTTTCAGCAATGGATAGATCATCCAGACAGAAAATCAGCAAAGAAATGTTGGACTTGCACCATACATTAGACCAAATGGACCTAACATACATTTATAGAACATTCCACCCATCAGTAGCAGAATACACATTCTTCTCAAGTGCACACAAAGCATTCTCCAAGATAGATCATATGATAGGCCACAAAGCAAGTCTTAGCAAATTTAAGAAGACTGAAATCATATCAACTTACCTTTTCCAACCACAACGGTAATAACAGAAATAAACAACAAGAGGAAAGTTGAAAAATTTACAAGCAGGTGGAAACTAAATAACACACTCCTGAACAATCAATGGATCACAGAAGAAATAAAAAGAGAAATCAGAAAATATCTCAAAACAAATGAGAATGGAAACACAGCACACTGAAACCTATGGGATGCTGCAAAAGCAGTTCTGAGAGGGAAGTTTATAGTGATAAATGAATATATTAAGAAAATAGAAAGATCTCGAATAAGCAACCTAACTTTACACCTCAAAGAACTAGAAAAAGAAGAAAAAACTAAGCCCAAAGTTAGCAGAAGAAAAGAAATAAATATTAGAACAGAAATAAACGCCATACAGACCAGAAAAACAATAGAAAAGATCAAGGAAACTAAGAGCTGGTTTTTTGAAAAGATAAACAAAAACAACAAAACTTTAGTTAGACTAATTAAACAAAAAAGAAAGAAGACTCAAATAAATAAAATCAGAAATGAAAGAGGAGACATTACAACTGATATTACAGAAACAAATAGGATCATAAGAAACTACTATGAAAAATTATAGATCACAGATTGGATAAGCTAGGAGAAATGGATAAATTCCTAGAACAAACAACCTACCAAGTCTGAATCAGGAAGAAACATAAAATTTTAACAGATCAATAATTAGTGAGGTGATTGAATCAGTAATCAAAAAGTTCCCAACTCAGAAAAGCCCAGGAACAGATAGCTTCACTGGTGAACCTACCAACTATCGAAAGAAGAATTAACACCAATCTTTCTCAGACTCTTCCAAAAAATTAAAGAGAAGGAAACACTTTCAATCTTCTTCATCTTATGAACCCAGCCTCACTCTGATACCAAAGCCAGATAAGGATACTACAAGAAAACTATAGAACAATATCTCTGATGAATATAAATGCAAAAATTTTCAACAAAATATTAGCAAACTGAATTCAACAACACTTCAAAAGGATCAGACACCATGACCAAGTGGGATTTATCACTGGGATGCAAGGATGGTTCAACATATGCAAATCAATGAGTGTGATACACCACACTAATAGAATGAAAGAAAAAAACATATGGTCAACTCAATAAATGCAGAAAAAGCATTTGAAAAACTACATCATCCTTTCACGATAAAACTCTTAACGATTTGGATATAGAAGGAACATATCTCAACATAACAAAGGCCATCTATGACAAATCCACTGCTAACATCATACTCAATGGTGAAAGACTGAAAACCTTTCCTTGAAGATCAGGAACAAGACCAGAGAGCCCACTTTCACCACTCCCATTCAAAATGGCATTGGAAGTCCTGGCTAGGGTAATTAGGCAAGGCATAGAAATAAAAGGCATCCAAATTGGAAAGGAAGAAGTAAAATTGTCATTATTTGCAGATGATATGATCTTGAAAATCCTAAAGACTCCACAAAAAAACTCCGCAACACTAGTCAATGAATTCAATAAAGTTGCAGGATATACAATCGACACACAGAAATCAATTATGTTGCTATACACTATCAACAAATTATCTGAAAAAGAAATAAAGAAAACTATCCCATTCACAATAGCATCAAAAACAATAAAATACTTAGGAATAAATTTAACCAAGGAAGTGAAAGATATGTACAATGAAAACTACAACACTTGGATGAGAGAAATTGAAGAAGACACAAACAGAAGGATATCTTGTGTTCATGCATAAAAATAATTAATATTATTAAAATGTCCATACTATCTAAAGCCATCTATAAATTCAATGCAATCTCCATCAAAATTCCAATGGCATTTTCCAAAGAAATAGGGAAAACAATCCTAAAATTTGTATGGAACCATAATAGACTCTAAATAGCCAAATTAACTCTGAGAAAGAAGAACAAAGTCAGAAGAATTATACTTCCTGACTTAAAACTATGCTACAAAGCTGTAGTAATTAAAATAGTATGGTAATGGCATAAAAATAGACACATAGATCAATGGAACAGATAGAGAGTCCATAAATAAACCCCTGCATATACCATCAACTAATATTTGACAAGGGAGCCACAAACATTCAATGGGGAAAGGATAGTCTCTTTAACAAATGCTGTTGGAAAATCTGGGTAACCACATGCAGAAAAACAAAATTGGACCCCTATCTTACACCACTCTCGAAAATTAACTTGAAATGGATTAAAGACTTAAACAGGGCCCGCCTGGTGGCATAGTGGTTGAGTTCGCATGTTCCACTTCTCAGAGGCCTGAGGTTTGCTGGTTTGGATCCCAGGTGCGGACACAGCACCGTTTAGCAAAAGCCATGCTGTGGTAGGTGTCCCACGTATAAGGTAGAGGAAGATGGGCATGGATGTTAGCTCGGGGCCAGTCTTCCTCAGCAAAAAGAGGAGGATTGGCTGTAGTTAGCTCAGGGCTAATCGTCCTCAAAAAAAAAAAGACTTAAACATAAGATCTGATACTGTAAAACTCCTAGCAGAAAACGTAGTGAAGAAGCTCCTTGACATTGGTCTTGGTAATGATTTTTTGGATATGATACCAAAAGGTCAAGCAACAAAAGCAAAAATCGACAAGGGGGACTATATCAAACTAAAAATGTTCTGTACAGCAAAAGAAACAATCAACAAAATAAAAAGGCAAGCTATGGAATGGGAGAAAATATTTGCAAACCATACATCAGATAAGAGGTTAATATCTAAAATATATAAAAAACCATACAACTTAATAACAACAACAACAAAAAAACAAACCAAACCAATTAAAAATGGGCAGAGGAACTGAACAGACATTTTTCCAAAGAAGATATCCAAATGGCCAACAGGTACAAGAAAAAATGTTCAACATGACTAATAACCAGGGAAATACAAATCAAAACCACCATGAGATATCACTTCACACCTGTTAGAATAGTTACCATCAAGAAGAAAGGAGATAACAAGTATTGGATGTGGAGAAAAGGAAATCCTTGTATACTCTTGGGAATTTAAATTGGTGCAGCCACTGTGGAAAACAGTGTGGAGTTTCCTCAAAAAATTAAAAATACAACTATTATATGATCCAGCAATCCTACTTCTGGATATATATTCAAAGGAAACGATTATATATATATACAATATGATATATTAAAAGGTAATATATATACATATATATGTGTGTGTATATATATACACACACACACACAATGAAATATTATTCAGCCATGAGAAAGAGGAAATTCTGCCATTTGCAACAACATGGATGGACTTGAGGGCATTATGCTTAGTAAAATAAACCAGACAGAGAAAGACAAATATCATATGATATCACTTATATGTGGAATCTAATAAAGCTGAACTCATAGAAACAGAGAGTAGGATGGTGGTTACTAGGGGGAGGTGGGAGGGGAAATGGGGAGATGTTGTTTAAGGGTACAGATTTACAACCAGAAGACAAATAAGTTCTGGAGAGCTGATGCACAGCATAGTGATTGTAGTCAACAACACTGTATTATATACTTCAAAATTGCTAGGAGATTCAATCTTAAATGTTCTCACCACAAAAAAGAACTGATAATTATGTGATACGATAGACGTGTTAGCTTAAGCTATGGTGGTAATCATATTGCAATATATAAATGTATCAAATCAGTAGATTGTGTACCTTAAACTTACACAATGTTATATGTAAATTACATCTCAATAGAAAAAAATACTGTGGGTCATCAATTTGCAATGGACCCAGTGGGAGGTCTTTCTGCTGGTTTTGGCTGGGTCACACGTGTAGCTGCAGTCATCTGCAGCTTGACCAAGGCTGGATGGTCTAAGGTCAGCTTTCTTACACATCTGGTGGTTGGTTTGGGCTGTTGGTTGGGCCTTTCTCTCATGTGTTCACTTATCGTTAAGAAGTCTAGTCTGGGCTTTTTTATGCAATGGCAGCAGACAAGGGGACTAGAGCTAGAAGCTGCAAGTCCACTGGAGATTGAGAAGTTCAGAAGCCAAAACCCATTGCTTGCACTGCATTCTGTTGGTGAAAGCAAATCATAAGTCTGGTTTGTGGAGAAAGGGGTGGAGAAATTAAATCCACCTCTTGGTAGGAGAAGTGGCTAAGTCGTATTGTAAAGGGCCTGGGGGAGGAGGAATTATTGTGACAACTTTAGCGAACAATCTTCCCCGTAGTTCACCTCCTCTTCTGGGACAGATGAATAAAGGGGCAGAGAAGCCAGCAGTGCGATGGGAAGAGGGATCTCTGCAAATGGAAGGGAACTGAAGGAGTGAGGGAGCAGTGTCTGTTCTTCCCACTCACCTCACAAACTGGTAATAGTTTAAAATAGAGGATTCCTATCGACCTATGAGTAGCAATTTCAGATGTACAGAAAGTAACATTATAACTCTAACATTATTCTCTGCTTATAATTATATCTTTTAATCTTTAAAAACATAATCAGTTTGGGGCTGGCCCTGTGGCCGAGTGGTTAAGTTCGTGCGCTCTGCTGCAGGCGGCCCAGTGTTTCGTTGCTTCGAATCCTGGGCACGGACATGGCGCCGCTCATCAAACCACGCTGAGGCAGCGTCCCACATGCCACAACTAGAAGGACCCACAATGAAGAATATACAACTATGTACTGGGGGGCT